AGAAACTCTACTTTTAGTCTTTTTGGTCAACTTCTCATGAAACCAGAAGCCCAACTGACATTGAAATGTAGTTTTACTTGTTTTGATACTGACATTATTTTACCAGACCTATTGTCCCACCTTTACAATAACAATCAAAGAAACTGTTTGACGAATAATACACAATACGGCAATGAAATAGGCACAAACAACAGAAAGGGCCAAATAACCGAGTTTCTGCAAAAGGAGGAGTATATGGACAAGAGAACATACATTTATGTCCTTTCTCTCTTATTGCTTGGTATATTTTAAAAAGAATAAAGGTGTGAAAAGATTTGTGTGTGTGTTTTTTTTTTAGGTATTTGGCATATTCAAGAATTATTCTAGTATAAAATATGCTGTTTGTTGCAAATATAATGGAAACAGGGATGACTGTATTTCACAGTACATTATTATCTTTAAGATTCCTGGCTGTCTTTCTGACACCAAATGTATGCTGAGCAAAACAAAATAAGGATTTGTCAAGCAAAAGCTTGGAATAAGCCATCTCCTTCTTTGGGGATACATTTCTGGATTTATAAATTTTAACCAAATCACATTCTGCAACATGGCTTGATTTTCTTTTCAAGCGAGCTCAGTGACAATCTATTTGCAGTTCTGTCAAAGAGAAACTATAAATAATGAACAAGTATTGTCTGGCATGTACTCACTTCTCCCTGCTTCACTGCAGAATATTGTTGTGCAGGCAGAGACGGGTATAACAACACACACTGCCAGATGCCCAGTAGCTGCATAATACACTATTCTTCAAATCTGCCATGTTCCCCAAATGATTTAGGTAGAGGAGGCAGACCATTTATGCTAGAGCAATGGCACAGAAGACTTCAAGCATGATCCCATGCCCAAAGTCACATTAAAATTATATTTTCAGCCCATCAGATCCTATGTGCACCTGAAGTCAGTCTACTCTATTCAACTGCACCTATTTCTAACTTGTTGGCTTACCAGGAGTAAGTCCCAATGAGATCTACTTATGAGGAAACACAGATAAGATTGTGATGATAGGGTGCAATCCATGTCCATTTACTTGAGAATATTCTGCACTGAATACAATGGGACTTGCTTCTGAGTCGATGGGGATAGGGGATGCCAATCCCTATAAGTGGGAGCACTTAACAGAGTGCGTATTTATGTGTGAGCAAACACCACTGGGCAAAATTGGAGATATTCCTTAATAAATGTGCAACTTAACTCTGTGCAAGTGAGTACAGCGTTGTAGCACCCTCTACATCTGGTGCAGCACAGATCTTTCTTTCTTTCCACAACTCCCACTGAATTCAGAGGAATTTTATCCTAAACAACAATGTATTCGTATGTCAACTCAAAATACAAGCTTAACTGAAGTCAATGGGACTTATATCCAGATCAGTTTAAAGTTTGGAAAGCAATATAGTTCATGAACTACATGTTTATTATTACTATTGAAAAACACCAGACTTAGCCTAATGACCAAATCTTTCTAGAAAAGGGTTAGTTATATTGCAGGTTCCAATGTGATTCCACAGATATTATTGCAGGAAATCCTAAACATGTTTACTCTGAAGTAAGCCCACTATGTTCACTTTCATAGACAAAAGGAAGCATTAAAAATTAACAAACATACCTAAGAAAAATGTTGTCATCATCAAATTAATTGTGGTTTAAGGGGCTAAGTAATATTTACCTTTAAAAAAGTTGCTCCTCAAAAATGTGCTCAAATGATCTAGCTAAACCTTTTCTTTTTTGGGGACTCTCCTTTGATTACTCCAGATCTTTTCAGTGCAAACCAGTAGATTTTGACCTTCATCCTTTCATGGTATGGTTTGAATCTTATATTGGTGGTCACATAAACTGGGAAGCCTGTGCTATAGCTGTGCCACATTTAAGCAACAATTGTGGGCCCTTCCACACAGCCATATAACCCAGAATATCAATGCAAAAATCCCACAATATCTGCTTTGAAGTGGGATATCTGAGTCCACACTGTCATATATCCCAGTTCAAAGTAGATAATGTGGGATTTTCTTCAGCTGTGTGGAAGGAGCCTGAGTTTATTTGGCCTTACTTCTGCATAGAGGTGTAAAGGGATCCACTTTCAGGCTCCTTTCAGTTTACATAGCTAGAGTTGCCTAACTTACTTGGGAGCAAAGACTCTAAATGAAGCTTATAATTTCCACCTCCTGATTTCAAAAATACTTTCCCGAGCTCCTTTATTACACAATCTATACCCACAGCATCTATTCTAAATATAATTTATTGGGGGCAGAGATGTTTTATCAGCAGTAAGAGAACCTTTTCCTTGTAATTTTAGAACTTAATATGCAGACAAGTCCCAAATAATTGCTGTGTTTAGCAAGGAGCGCAGCACCTCCCCTCTAACTATTGATTCTTGGCCAACAATCTGACACTAAACAACACTCTTGCCAATGATATTAATGTGAAATGAATACCACTGCTTGGTTCCATACAGTCTTATAATCGTTAACATAAATCAGAGTACCTACTTCACCCAGGAAGTATGCATTCATTGCAGGGGGAAGGAAAAGGCGCATCATTAAAACACATACATGTATATATACAAGGTGCTCAAAAGTGTTAGCAGGTACACTGCAGTCTAACGCAATGCACTTTTTACTTGGCATTAAACCTCTCTACATGTATTGAGACCTATGAGCAGATAACTACATAAAACTGCAGTCACAATACCAAAACCGATGCATGTTCACTTCAAAACAACTCCAACTCCCTTCAATGGGACAGGATGTTGGTCACAGATCTGGGCAGACAGGTTTGTTGCCTTATTGTAAAATTCAGTAAGGTTCACTTCTGAGTGAGCCTGTCTAGACACCTTGTGGGAATATTCCCTTAAGGAACAATTGGAACTGGCTTTATTTTTTGCCACCAAATGAGAAAGCAACACTCCTTCCCCTTTACCCAAGGGTGCATCTACACCAGGTATGGGCAAACTTCAGCACCGGTTGGCCCATGCCTGGTTTATAGTGCGGGTCGTCCTGTATATTGGGCCAGGCCCAGCCAGTTTCACAACACAATGCTGTTTCCTCCTCAGGAAGAAAACCTCACCAGCATATACACCAGTATTTCCCAAATTCTGCTCCTCCAGATGTTTTAGACTTCAACTCCCACAATTCCTGACAGGTGGTAAACTGGCTGTGATTTCTGGGCACTGATGTCCAAAACAATTGAAGGAGTAATTTAAAAAACACTGATCTGCACTATCAATCAGGTATGGGCAAACGTTGGCCCTCCAGATGTTTTGACTACACTTTCCAGAAGTCCATGCCACCTTACTTGAGATGGCTGTTAAAAATTGTGGGAGTTGCAGTTTAAAACACCTTGAGGACCAAAGTTTGCCCATGCCTACCATAGAAGGAATGCAGTTTGACACCACTTCAACAGCCATGACTCAATGCTATAGAATCCAGGAAGATGGAGTTTGGGAAAGTACCAGCACTCAGTTAGAGAGAGTTAAAGACCTCTTAATACAACACTTCCCACAATTCCATAGACTTGAGCCATGGCAGTTCAAGTGTCAAACTCCATTAATTCTACAGTGTAGACAGGGGCGGCTCAACCCATTACGCAAAGTAAGCCTTTGCAGTATAGTTGATTTTGCCCAGGGGTGCTCTTGAGGCACTCTTGGGGGAAAATAGACCTTGACATATGCGAGTTGTAGTTACTGGGATGTATAGTTCACCTACAATCAAAGAGCATTCTGAACTCCACCAATGATGGAATTGAACCAAATATGGCACACAGAACTCCCACGATGAACGGAAAAAATATATCAGTGATTGGTGGGGCGGGGACGATGATGACAAAATACTGTTTGCTTACAGTTGAAAATTACCTAGGGCCACCTCTGAGTGTAGATCAAGCATGGGAAAACTTTGGCCCTCCAGATGTTTTGGACTTCAACTCCCACAATTCCTAACAGTCTACCAGTTTATGATCTCCCAATGAAAGACGTTCAGGGATAATAACACTGTGGAGAGTGACAAGAAAGAAGGGTGCAATCTGAAATAGGAAGTTTTGAGGAACAAGCCAAAGGCCCTTAGGGATGTTTCCCACACACTACAATAGAGATGGAAGAAAGTCTCTTTTAGTGTATATCCATGGGTCAGCCAGCTTACCAGCTGTTAGGGATTGTGGGAGCTGGACTCCAAAACATCAGGAGGAGCAGAATTTGAGAAATACTGATGTAAATGCTAGTAAGGCTTTCCTCCTGAGGAGGAAACAGCATTGTGCTGTGGAACTGGTTGGGACTGGTCCATTGCACACAATAAACCAGGCATGGGCAAACTTGGGCCCTCCTTCCTCCAGGTGTTTTGGACTTCAACTCCCACAATTCCTAACAGGCTCAGGCCTTTTTCTTTTCCTGCTCAGTCATAGAATCATAGAATCATAGAATCAAAGAGTTGGAAGAGACTTCATGGGCCATCCAGTCCAACCCCTGCCAAGAAGCAGGAATATTGTATTCAAATCACCCCTGACAGATGGCCATCTAGCCCCTGTTTAAAGGCTTCCAAAGAAGGAGCCTCCACCACACTCCGGGGCAGAGAGTTCCACTGCTGAACGGCTCTCACAGTCAGGAAGTTCCTCCTCATGTTCAGATGGAATCTGCTCTCTTGTAGTTTGAAGCCATTGTTCCGTGTCCTAGTCTCCAAGGAAGCAGAAAACAAGCTTGCTCCCTCCTCCCTGTGGCTTCCTCTCACATATTTATACATGGCTATCATATCTCCTCTCAGTCAGTTAAGTGGGCCTGAGGCTGTTAGGAATTGTGGGAGTTGAAGTCCAAAACACCTGGAGGGAGGGCCCAAGTTCACCCATGTGTCTTATAAAGAAGAATAATGATTATGTCATACTTTCCTCTCTTAAACACAGAGGAACACTCCACCAACCTTTTATGGCGGATTAAAACAGCCATGGAGAACATTTCAAAAGAGGGGAAAGGGGCAAATCAATTGGATTGTTTTGTTTTATTATTAAGCACAAGCCAGGAAGGAAGGAGGTACGATCAACACATAGCCAGGAAGGACCTGAACGTCCACAGGTTTAGCTAACCACACTTCTCCCTCATCTCTTTCCTCCTTTTATCCTCCTCTTCTCAGTCCTGGGCTCCCTATTTCCCACTTTGTGTATCTACTGTCAGCGCAGGCCAAAGTGAGGCGGGGACTGGGAGGGCCCAACTCGGTTGCCATGGCGACCAGTGCTGCTGCGGAGTTCCCCTCCAATGGCAGGGAAGGGCGACCCAAGTCGAGTGCGCGCGGGCCTCAGTGGCCGGGGTTGTCCCACCCCTCTTTTTGTATCATCATCATCATCGCAATGATGCTGGTTCTGGTTATTCTTTGCCGCTGTCGTCGCCGATGTCCATCCCCTGGAGGGCCCTGAGCCGGGCGGAGGCGTCGAGGCGCCGCTTCTCGCGGATGAGCTCCTCCAGGCTGTGGAAGCGGGCCGTGCGGGCCTCGCCGTCGGCTAAGCGGCTCTGGAGGTAGTACTGCTGCCTGGGACACCCTCCGCCGCCTGCCCCGGGGGCGCCCTCCCCGCCGGCCTTGAACTCCCGCTTGCCGAAGCGGCACCAGGCGGCGAAGCTCTCCGAGTTCGTCCAGCAGATCTCGGGGCTCTTGAGGCCGAGGTGCCCGCGCGCGTTCTGCACCACCAGCTCGGCGCCGAGCGGGCGGAAGCGGTACCAGTCACTCACCACGCGCCCGGCCAGCCCGCCCCCGCCCTCGCGCAGCCCCTCCTGCCGGATCTGCCCCCCGCGGAGCTGCACCACCTGCCCACCGCCCACGTAGACGGCCCAGCGCGGCGGCCACGACGGAGGCTCCGCACCGCCCAGGTCCAGCAGCTCCAGCAGGTCCCCCGCCTCGCACAGCGCAGGCAGCGCCGACGCCGGGTACACCCCCAGCGCCCCCACACCGCTGCCTTTGGAGAAGATACATTCCGGGCCGCGGAAGGCGCGGAACTGGGGCTCGCTCAGCAGCAGCGGCGGAGGGGGAGTCCCCGGGTGGTGCAGGTGCAAGTGGTGGTGGTGGTGGTGGTGATGGACGGGGGTCTCCGGGGCGGGGCTTCCGGCGCCCCTCCCGCCGCTGTACTTGGTGGCCTCGGGCGGGACCCCCACGCCGCCGCCGCCGCCCCCTCCTCCTCCTCCGCGCTCGTCCAGGTCCACCTCCTCCTCATCCGAGAAGAAGTAGGCCACGCCCACGCGGAGCTCGTCCTGCTCGATGCCCGAAGGGTCCCCCGTCGGCAGCTCGCTGTAGTTCAAGTGGGTGATGCGGTCCAGTTGGTTGCCCATCAAGGACGCCGCCCCGGCGGGAGGGAGGGCGGGAGCGGGCGGGTCTGCCGGAGAAAGAAAGGGAGGAGAAGGCAGGTGAGAACAGAGAGAGAGAGAGGGAGAAGAAAGGAAGGGAAAAAGATAGCAAGCCAGGAGGGGAGGGGAGGGAGAGAAAGTCAGGCAGGCTGGAGAGATAGCCAGGAGGAAAGAAAGGAAGCATGCAAGCCTGGAGAAGAGAGAGAGAGGAGGCGAAGAGGCGGGGAGGGAAGAAAGAAAGCCAGGGGAAGAGAGGGAGAAAGGGAGAGCAAGTCAGCACGGAAGGAAGGAAGGAAGAGAGAAAGCCGGGAGGAACGAAAGAAAGAGAGAGGGACAGGGAGAGAAAAGGCAGGCAGAAGAAAGCCAGGAGGAAAGCAAGATGAGTGAAAACCACAAGGAAGAAAGAGAAGCATGCGAGCCAGGAGGAAAGAGAGAGAGAGAGGGAGAATAAGTCAGACAGGAAGGAAGGAGCAAGCCAGGAGGAAAGAATGCAACCCTGAAGGAAAGAGAGAGGCAGAAAGCAGGAAAAAGTCAGGAGGAAAGAAAGAAGAGTGAAAATCATAGAATCAAAGTGTTGGAAGAGACCTCTTGGGCCATCCAGTCCAACCCCCTGCCAAGAAGCAGGAATATTGCATTCAAATCACGCCTGACAGATGGCCATCCAGCCTCTGTTTAACCATAAGAAAGAAAAGGAAGTATGGAATCAAGCAAGCCCAAAGAAAAGAAAGAGGGATTCTCGAAGGATGGCAGGAGGAAAGAGTGAAGAAGGAAGAAAGGAAGGAAGGAAGGAAGGAAGCATGCAAGCCAGGAAGAGAGAGGGAGAGAAAGTGGGGTTGGAAGGAAGGAGAGAGAACTAGGAGAAAAGAAAGAAGCATGTCAGGCCTGGAGGGGGGAGAGAGAGAGGAAGGAAGGCAGGTGAAGCCCAAGAGGAAAAAAAGAAGTGTGAAAACTAAAAGAAAGAAAAAGAAGCATGCAAGCCAGGAAGGGAGAGAGAAAAAGGCAGGTGGGAAGGAAGGCAGGAGGAAAGAGAGAGAAAAAACCAGAAGGAAGAAAGGAAGGAACCATGCAAGCCAGAAGCGGGGAGAGGGAGAGAAAGTCAGGCTGGAAGGAAGGAAGGAAAGGAAGCATGCAAGCCTGAAGGAATGACAAAGAAAAAGCAGACAGTCAGGAGAAAGCCAGGAGGAAAGAAAGAAGAGTGAAAACCACAAGAAAGAAAAAGAAGCATGTAAGCAAGCAAGCCCTGAGGAAAGAGAGAAGGGCAGTCTGGAAAGAAGATAGGAAGCATGCAAGCCAGAAGAAGAGAGAGACAGAGAAAGTCAGGCCGGAAGGAAAGACAGAAAGCCAGGAGGAAAAAGAGAGAGAGAAAGACAAGCAGGCAGGAGACAGCCAGGAGAAAAGGAAAGAAGAGTCAAAACCAGAAGGAAGAAATGGAAACGTGCAAGCCTGGAAGAGAGAGAGAGAAAGACAGTCGTGAAGGAAGGCAGAAGGAAAGAGGAAGGGGAAAACACAGGAGGGAGAAAGGAAGCGTGCAAGCCTGGAGGAAAGAGAGAAAGACTGACAGGAGGGAAGGAAGGGAAGCCAGGAAGGGAAGACAGGTACTGGATCAACACTGCCCTACATCCCAGCCTCTGACCCCAGATTATCTGATCTGAACTGGATTATACGAGTCTCCACTGCCAGATAATCTGGGGCCACATCCCGGGTTATAGGGCAGTGTAGATCCAGCCAGAGAGAAAGCCCCGAAGGAAGGAAGGGAGCCTGGAGGGAAGAGAAAGTCAGGTGGGAAGGAAGGAGAGAAAGACAGGAGGGAGAGAAAGTTAGGAAGGGAGGGAGGCAGGCAGAAAAGACGGGAGGAAGGCCAGGGGGAGAGAAAGTTAGGAAGGGAGGGGGAAGAAGGAAAGACAGAACAAAAGAAAGAGAGAGAGAGGAATAGGAATCCAAGGGCGCTTCCTCACAGACAATCAAGACAGAAAATCCCGCAATATCTGCTTTGAACTGGGTGATCTGAGTCCACACTGCCCTATATCCCAGTTGAAAGCAGATCATGTGGGATTTTATTCTGGAGTGGAAGAAGCCCCAGAGAAAGGAGAAAGAACCCGGAGGAAAGAAAGATCGGAGAAAGAGAGAACGCCAAAAGGAAAGAAGGAAGGAGAAAGCCGGGAGAGAAGAAAGAGAGAACAGATAGGGTGGGAAGAAATGGGGAGGTTGTGGGGAGGTTGACACCCAAGCGAAAGGGGCTTGGAGAGGAAACAGGGAGTATCCTCACAACAACACCACACGCAGCGAGCGAGACACAGACACAGAGACACACCTCTCTCCCCCCAAAGGCAACCACAGGAGAGAAAGAGAGAGAGAGGAAGGAAGGAAGGAAGGAAGGAGGGATAGCGGTGCCTGCTCTCCTCCGCACGCCTCAGCCTCTGCTCAGGGAAAAGGGGCATCTAGCCAGGGAACCTTTCGTACCCGGAGTCGCCCAGATCGAGCCCCCGACGTCCTTCAGAGTCCTCCGCCCGCCATGCATGGGAGAAAGGGGCGCTCCGAAGCCCAGCCTCCTCCTCCTCCTCCTCCTTGCCTCGCCCGGCTCCGCTGGGCAGCCCGCAGGCTGCCGCCTCCTGCCTGCCTTCCTCCCTTCCTTCTCCTGGACGGCCCCGCGCGGCTCTGGAGTCCCCTCGGTGGCCAGGCTCAAGTCAAGGCGTCAAGCGCCGCCCCCGAAAGACGCTCATTGGCTGCTGCGCGGGCTCGGGGGTGCCAATCAACGCCACAAGGGAGGGGAGGGGGGATCCCCGGCGCACCATCGGCCTCGGCGCGTCTGCCGCAGCACCACGGCTCACAGGGGAGGAGCCCGGAGCCCGGGAGGCGGAGAGAAGCGTGGGACACGAGGGGTGTGAGCCAGCCTCACTCGCTCCTGGCATGCCGTTATCGTTGCTGAGGAAGGGAGCCTCAACAGGCCTATGCCTTTCCATGGGAGTCTCCTTTTTTTTAGCCCTTCCACACAGCCCTGTCTCCCAGAATATCAAGGCAGAAAATCCCACAAGATCCGCCTTGAACTGGGTTATCTGAGTCCACACTCAGGCAATGTGGGGTTCCTGCCTTGATATTCTGGGATATGGGGCTGTGTGGAAGGGCCCTACCTTGTCATCATCGCAGTCATCACCACCACCACCTCCTCTTCATCCCTTAATGATCGCTTTGTGATTAAACTGGATTAGATACCTAGCCGATCCAATTCCGAGCATAATTCAAAGTGCTGGTTTTGACCTATACCTGTCCGCAGAGGTGGCCCTAGGTAATATTCAACGGTAAGCAAAAAGTATTTTGGCACCCCCCACCCACCCCAACCAATAACTGATATAGATTTTCTGTTCATCATGGGAGTTCTGTGTGCCATATTTGGTTCAATTCCATCATTGGTGGAGTTCAGAATGCTCTTTGATTTTATACATCCCAGTAACTACAACTCGCATATGTCAAGGTCTATCCCCCCCCCCCCCCCAAGAGCGCCTCAAGAGCACCCCTGGGCAAAATCAACTATACTTTGTAATAATAATAGTAACAGGAGCAACCACAGAGGCCATCAGTTTGGGGGGGGGGAGGAATGCAGGGGGAGGGGGAGGGAAAGCTCAGGGGGTGGGAACTGTGGAACTCCTCAGGATGCATCTTGGGAGCCTCAAGGGCTCCACCGAGCACACTTTGAGAACCACTGCTATAGTGTCCTAGGATTTGTAGTTCGGAAAGTCACTGGCAGACTTTGGCAGAAAAGAAAAAATCCTCATGAAACTGTGAACCCCATGATTCTGTAGCATTGTGAAACCACAGTTAAAGTGGTATCAGACTTCATTTATTCTACAGTGTAGATGCACCCCTGGATTCGGTACCTTGGTTCTGTGTCTAGTTTAACTAGAAAGGGGAAGATTCATTCTGTGTGATTTGGAAAATCTGTGAGTTCTCAAAAACAAATATGTAAATGTACAGATTTTGCTGTGGGAAGATGCTCCCTCCCTCCCACGATAAAAATCTGTGCTGCTTCTTGGCAAGAAGACCTCCTTCCGGGTGGGTCAGAGATGTTGGGAGCCATATTCCCACTTTCTGTAGATTGATGTTGAGTGGCCTTGCATTGCAAGTTCACCATAAGAATGTGAGAGCAGAAATTTAGAAATAACCAGAGCTGTCAAAGACACGGGCGGCCTGAGACAATTTTAGACTCTTGGCTTGACACCTTCTCTTTAACTGGAATTATGGACTCTCAGCTTAAAAGTCTTATCCACACTCTCTTTAACTGGAAATCTCCTTTACTTTCCTTGCTTCAAAAGGCAGGAAGTTGGAATATGGTGACAGTACTAAGGATTTGCTTGTTCCCTGCTTTTCCTCTTCCAGTTCTTGCCCTGAAGTCCTGCCCTGTTGGGTCCTGTGTACCCGCTGTCCTTCTGGCCCCAGGGCGATGCCTAGGTTCTTAACCTGTGGGCTGCAGAACACCAGTGGGCTGCGAAGATGAAAATCCGGTCTGTGAGCCTCCTTCCTCTTTTATTTTATTTTATTTTATTTTATTTTATTTTATTTTATTTTATTTTATTTTATTTTATTTTATTTTATTATTTATGCTCCTTTCATGCCACCTGCCACTCCTTCCCTGTCACTGACCATGGCATATGTTCTCTATCAGAAACTAGAGCTGATGTGGTCTATCCAATGCACTTTTCTGAATCAGCATCCCCAAACCGAATCTAAAGTTGACCAAAAACTTATTCATAACTCTTTTGATACTAATGTTGGAGAGTGGTCCCTGGTCAAAGTGGTCTCTGGTCAAGTAGTCCCTGGTCAAAAAAAGGATGGGAACCATTGAATTCTACATTGTAGTATTATTGCAGTTTGATACCACTTTAACTGCCAAGGTTCAATACTATGGAATCCTGGGATTTGTAGTTTGGTCAGGCACCAGTGTGCTCTAGCAGAGAAGTCTACAGACCTTGCAAAAATACAACTCCTGCAATTCCCTAGCTTTGGGCCATGGCTGTTAATGTGATGTCAAACTGTATTCATTCTACAGTGCATCCATTCCGGCCATTGCCAAACCTACCCTTTAAGTGACTTTCTTTAGGACAAAATGACAGCTAGGCCCTGGCTAATAATTGCAATATTTTTGTGTTATTTTAGATATACATGACAGTAATATGGGTGATAGGGATTTGTTTACTTCTAGGAAGGTAACCCAGATAGAACACATCCTGGCTTCCTCATCGCTTTCAGCCTTTGAATTCCTTTTTGTGTATATATGGACCCATCTCTTCCATTGAAGTGATACCATGTTGGCTTTGGTACAGCTTCTACCTCAAATTTCATTCCTCAGAATAAGGATCTGCGGCTAAAACTGAAGAGAGCTAGAATCTTTTCAGGAATTCAGGAGAGCAGGCGCTAGCCAGTGCTGATCATGCTTTATTCTAGTGTAGATGCACCCTTAGTCCTCATTCATCTCAAACAAAGCTCTGATGCCTCTCACTGCATTTGCACACATCCCATGTTTCTCTTCTTTTTCTCTGCCTTGTTTTTTCCTGTGGGGGGAGGGAGGAACAAAACTTGCTAAAGTTAATTTGAGGATATAAATCTCAGTAACTCTCAGCCAGCAAATCCACTGAGAGTGATCATCCCCAACAATAGCCTTTCCAAGTTCTAGACTTCACATTTGGCTGTATCTTCTTTGGGACATGGAGCATTGTGTAAAGCTGGGCAGAAAATATGCATATATAGTGCTGGTTCTGGAAAAGATCACTGGACAGAAGCAACTTTAAATGCAAATCTGGTTAATAGACCTGCCAAATGTGGCCGATTTCTATCCCAATAGTTTGCCCCTCTGCTGCCTAAGTTTCCAGTCCTCATGCAGCTTCCTCTGGATCATCCTTCTTGAATGACAAATCCTTTTGCCATGGCAAGAGTTGGGACACAGCTTCGAGGACCAGAACGTATGCAGTGCCATGTTTTGTAATTAGTTCTGTGTGTCAATCGTTTTCTCTTGTGGACTCTGTCTGGATAAGGATGCCTTTGTATATTTGTTGGCATCTCATCAGGCACTTGTTTCGTTTAGATTACTCTTTTAATTAACTTTGGAACGCAAGCCGCAGTTCATCCTCGGCACCCTGAAGATGCATGTCGCTGCCAAATAAACAGACTGCCTTTCAGCATCAGAGTGGTTCCAGGTGCCCCTTGCTTGGCTTCGGAGACAAATGGGGCTGCTTAGCTATTACATTAGCCCTTCAGTTTGGCTTGCAAGACCTCTTTTCCCTTCTCCACCCTCCACAAAGTGAATGTTTACTTGGCTTTCCAGTTGCAGCAACCACTGTGTTTCTAAGACGTGGCACCCACAAGTTGCTAATTAAAAATAACACACTCATAACCCTCGAAAGAGCAGAAGGCGGATGGCAAGAGATGGATTCAGTCACCACAGCTGCTACCTGTTTTTCTGCTTGGAAAGCAAACCATAATGGGATGCATGAGGAAGAACAAACAAAACATGTTGACTCACCTGAACTATTTAAGCCTAATATTACACAACCTTGGACAGACTTCAGAACTGGTTTGGAAGTGATGGGGTCCTCAACACCATCAGGAAGGCAGTTACAGTGAGCCCTTGGTCCCCTCTGTGGTTTGTTATCTAACCCATGTCGATACCAAATCTGTGGAAGCTGAAGTCCATAGTAGACATAGTAAAAAGGTGTCCCTCATTTAAAACAACAAAGTTTTTCTTTCCATGTCAGGAGCGACTTGAGAAACTGCAAGTCACTTCAGGTGTGACAGAACTGGCAGTCTGCAAGGATGTTGCCCAGGGGATACCTGGATGTTTGATGTTTTACCATCCTATGGGAGGCTGCTTTTGTGTCCCCACATGGGAAGCTAGAGCTGAGACAGGAGCTAACCCCACTCTCCAGATTTGAACCACCAACCTGTCGGTCAACAGTCCTGCTAACACAAGGGTTTAATCCATTGCGCCACCGGGGGCTCCATGACAAAGTCGAGTTTTGTCTTTTAACTTTTCTTTCAGTGCTGACCCTGGGAACACCTCCACCTCCAGAAATCCTCACCAACTCCCAGCTCCACCTCCAAATTAAAAAAAAAAAAACATGGGGCCTCATTTTCAGGCATTTGTTTCTCCAAACAAGCTAAAACTGCCTAAAAATTCAGTTGTTTCCTTCTTACTGCAAAGTCACAACATTTCCTAAAAATAACACCCCAAAATTGGTCAAAATCAGCCAAAATTGTGACTGAAAACGATGCCATGTCACTTTGGGCATTGTGAAATATGGTGGGGCAGCCCACTGGATGGGAATTGGCAAAATGTCCCCCATTCTCTTCTGCAGCTGACACCCCTCCATTAAAAGGATAAGAGCCCTTATTCTACCAGACAGCCCCAATCTCATAGTTCCTCTGGTGAGTTTGAGAAAACATAGATGTTTTTCCTCCATCCTTTTATCTGATTCTAAAAAAGCGAGAGATAGAGACTGACTGGTTGAGTTGTTCAAGGTTTCCCTGCGATTTTTATGGCTCATTGGGGAGTTGAATGTGGAGCTCCTAATTCTCAATTCAGTGCTGTCATCACCTCTCAGTCTTAATGACTGTTGAAATCTGGCACTCCACTTAAAGCATTAAATAACCACAATATCCCCAATTAAATTTAAAGCCAGGCAAGATTGAGTTATCTCCATGCACAACTGGACCTACTTATGGAGGAGTTCACCATTGAGATTTTCTATCAGACTAAAGGTAGACAGCCAAAATAATACGGACTCATGACTCTGCTGCTGTGGGGAGTCCCACTATCC